AATAATTGATTGGATAATTTGTAAATATTAACCCAGCAAGATTAATCATTTCCCCTTGTCTTGTTTTCCCTGCGTGTATGCAGGCCAAGAAGTGAGGACACACCCTGTACTCTGACCAAGGCAAGACTGAAGATTTCCTGAATTCATTAGTTGTCACACAATACGCAAGAAAGCTCTAATCATCATGAGTAAATTTACGTACACTATAGATGTACACATAAGGCATACCCCGGTACGTATGGGTAGGATGCTCATATCCCCACATACATTAAAGGCATACAACATAAATGCTTTTGCTGCAATTTTCAGAAATAAATGGATTTGGAGGATTATTACATGTTTGTTATATAGCATATATTGTTAAACTGACTTGTGTCACGTTTTGGGCTTGTTCGGTATATGTTGGAAAAACCAAGAAAACCAATCATGTTCTTGTAGTCTGGTTCTCCGACCCCACTAAAGATGAAACAGAGAAATGTAAAGACTTTTTGGAATTGTAAGGTCAGAGAATCACTCTGTATGTAGCAGGCTTGACCCCTTCACAGGTGTGTAATCAATTGCAAAGAAAATGTGGAATAACTAAATATGAACAAGTAGGAGCAGTTTTTGAAAAAAAGTCAGTTCTTTCCAACGCTGGTCGGCCGACCAGCGTTGGAAAAATACTGTTTTTCTTGAAAATGTAAGCACACAAGGAGCCACAATTTTACAGGATGCTTTAGACTGTCATTCCCTTACAATCCAGTGAGGTATTTTGTGATAATTTGATCAGTTCGTTTTTTGATGTTTGCAAATGTGATCTTCCCTTTAAAAGCATTGTTCTCACTTTAGCTAAATTAATTAATCCAAAAAGTGGTTCTCATCACACTCACAAGATAACGGAACAAAAGTCTTCATTGTCCATTCATTAGCACACCGGATTAGGCTGAGCCCACTGTACATGTAATTTCATCAACACATTAATATCCCATTCTCGGGTGTGATCCAATTAGAGAGGCAAACCGGCCACTGTGATTGGCCGAGGGGCCCTTGCAACAGGTGTGGTACATGTACACAGGTGCACATGATACCATGGCCTTCAAATTCCATTGTATTCATTTCACGGAAATTTAACATGTAAAGCCATACATAGACAAACTTGTACAGTTATGGCAGGTCAATTGGATTTTTATGGCATTGAGGCATTAACCCTTACTCTCTGAGGGTAGTTTACTGCATGTCAGTTGGTTATGCCAATGCCCTCCAGCTGCAGTTTATCGGAGGATACTTTGATGTAGCAGTGAAGGCTCCAATTGGCAGGAGTTGGAGGCCCTGGAGGGTGCCTGATACTGACCAGCTGGGGGCACTTGATTGTTATCAGAGGACTCTCATTGTTCTCTGTGGCATGTATTGGAATGCCTGTCCAGTTACCCTTGAAATGATATGGCAGATATTGGAGGGCCATGCAAAAAACATAGGAGATTTTCTTGAGGCACAATTGGCATGCGTTGGAGGGTCTAGTAGGGTAAGGGTTAATCCAGGTTCATGTATTGACATCCCTTAACCCTTACCCTACTAGACCCTCCAACGCATGCCAATTGTGCCTCAAGAAAATCTCCTATGTTTTTTGCATGGCCCTCCAATATCTGCCATGTCATTTCAAGGGTAACTGGACAGGCATTCCAATACATGCCACAGAGAACAATGAGAGTCCTCTGATAACAATCAAGTGCCCCCAGCTGGTCAGTATCAGGCACCCTCCAGGGCCTCCAACTCCTGCCAATTGGAGCCTTCACTGCTACATCAAAGTATCCTCCGATAAACTGCAGCTGGAGGGCATTGGCATAACCAACTGACATGCAGTAAACTACCCTCAGAGAGTAAGGGTTAAAGACATGAAGGTGTATCCGGTATCATACAGTACACAATATTTTTCAAACAAAACCAATTGTGAGCAGTGAAAATTTCGAATAAGGGAATAAATGTGTGCTCCGGAGGTTTTTATCACTCTGTTTAAGACCGCTTAGAGTCTGGGTGCTGATAATTACCCGAGCCGGAAGTTTTGTGTTTGAAAATGCTGGAAAAACCAAGAAAAACAAAAATGTTCAAGTAGTCTGGTTCCCTGACTCCTCTAAAGATGAAATGGATCAATTTATCGATGCCGGAAAATTGTAAGATAAGGGAACCAGTTGTAGCTGGCCTGCACCCGTTCATGAACATGTAACCAATAGCAAACAAAATTGGGACTGACAAAAATTGTAAATTTGGAGCAGTAGTTGAAAAATAGTTAGGTTTTTCCAACGGTGGTCGGCCGACCATTGTTGGAAATGTATACAAAAACACCATTTTATTGAAAATTACTTCACACCAGGTGCCATAATTTTTACAGGATGCTTTAGACTGTCATTTACCAACATCCTAGTAAGGTATTTCGTAAAAACTTGGTAGTTTTATTTTTCGATGTTTGCAAATGTCGTATATATATTCCCTTTAAGCTTCTTTTTCGTTTAAAATTTTAATCGTGTAAACATCAGATTCTTATTCACTGCACTGACTGACCTACATGTACTCGTGTATTGTTTTGTACTGCCTCATCTGTATGATTGTTATCCATAACTGTTAATGATATTCATTACTTTGACCTGGAAGTGTTGGGTTTGCCAGTGGGTAATGCCAGGCTCAGGTGCATTCATTGATGCTTGATAATCTTCCCTGATTGGCATGAATTCAAGTAAGATTTCCATATCTGACTAGGCCTAGTCCGAATGTAACTTTAAAAGGCGATAACAAGTTCGACATGCTTGTTGGCATGGTTGGGTCCAAGTTATTTGGACAAAATCTGGTAATCCTTACTTTTAGGACCCCGTTCCTTTATTTAAAGAAAGGGAAAGACTCACCAAAACAGTTGACTAAATGACACTCAAAATTGACATTCTGATATTTCTTGGCACATCTGAACAATTGGCAGTGACACCTTCTTGAATATCAGCAGGTTTAATTTTGTGAAAAGAGGGCAGGGCTTTGATTTATGAGGGAAATTCAGGGGTAAAAGACAACGATGACAACCAGAAAACGGACTCAAAAACCAAGATGGCAAACATGAAAGCTTGACGCAATGAAAGCTCGATGCTGATTGGCTGATAAAAAAATAAACATCTTATTAATTTTTTTAGCAGCCAATCAGCATCAAGCTTTCATTATGTAGGGCTTTCACTCGTGTTGTGAGAACTACAACATGCACCTGACTGCAAAAAAAGGTAGGAAAGTCACATTTCCTTTGAAAGCGCTTTCAAAATTACAGCTAACATGAGTTTATATGAAGAAAAAAGACTGCTTTAGCCTGCAAAAGTCACTTTGGTACGGGACAGTCATCTGCTAAAGTCAGTTTTGAACAGAACTCGTAAAAAATAGAGGTGTCCTAAAGATAATCATAAGGATTACTAGACCCGTGAACGTGGCATTGTATACAACGCCACGCTGTTGTGTACTTTCGAACCTAGCGAAATTGATCCGCCATACATAATTTCGTATGGATGTTGAGTACTCACCTAGAAATCTAAATTTGCCTGTCCGCGTGTTCAGGATGTGTCATTTCGACGAAATTTGCCATCAATGAAGACCCATACGAATGTGTAGAAATTAGATTTTAACCTGACAAGTGACCCTGACAAATGACCCTGGACGAGTACCCAGGGTCATTTGCGTGCAAAATTATCGGAGCCCTCCGAGCTACCCGTCTGCTTCATGTGGCGCATATGATAGGCGGCGTCTGATTGGCCAATAACGAGACCTCGTGATAAACGCAGCTAATAATTTGGAATCGCACTTATGATCCGGACATCAGGAGTGCCCGGAGCGTCAGTGCGATACCAAATTATCTGCAGCATTTATCACGTGGTAAATCACATGCATGATCGGAGGAGGTTGCAGGACGTCAAGATCTTGCCAGATTTTACCTCGAATATCGTTTAAATGCCAGATTTGGCGTAAAAGCAGATTTCAACATGTTCAAAAAAGCTTGATTATTGATATGTGAATACTTATCACACAGTAACTAGTAAGGCAATGTTCAGTCTTTGTCACGGAAAGACGATTTCGCTTGGTTCGAACATGTACATGATGAACAAGAGCGTGGTGTAGTTTACACAAGCTACTCCTAGAACTATGAGGCTCCACGTAGTGGAGCCTCATAGGTTCAGAAGCCCGCAAAATTGTTGTCAGCACAAAACACTAATTAAGTACAAAAACGTCCATCCCAAGCAGGCCGTTTTCCACAGAACCGCTGCACAGTTTGCCCCTAAACTCCATACAATACCTCATGACATACTCACGTTATGTGCACCCAACAAACATCGGTGGATTCTGTCTGTTTTTCGGCAAAAATGATGAAAAATATGCCCTTTCCGCACTGAGCCAACCTAACACTTGAAACGAGCACGCGTGCAGAATGATCGCAGTCATTTTCGGTTCGATCGCTCGGAGCGCGCCGCGGGGGGTATGGTGTAGAGCGGAACGATAGTATGCACATGCGTACAAGTGCAAGTACGTACCCCCCGCGGCGCGCTCCGAGCGATCGAACCGAAAATGACTGCGATCATTCTGCACGCGTGCTCGTTTCAAGTGTTAGGTTGGCTCAGTGCGGAAAGGGCATATTTTTCATCATTTTTGCCGAAAAACAGACAGAATCCACCGATGTTTGTTGGGTGCACATAACGTGAGTATGTCATGAGGTATTGTATGGAGTTTAGGGGCAAACTGTGCAGCGGTTCTGTGGAAAACGGCCTGCTTGGGATGGACGTTTTTGTACTTAATTAGTGTTTTGTGCTGACAACAATTTTGCGGGCTTCTGAACCTATGAGGCTCCACTACGTGAAGCCTCATAGTTCTAGGAGTATACACAAGCCACGTTCATGGGCATGGGTCTACGTCTAAAACTGAAAAGAATTACCCAAAATCTAATCTTTTTATTTGATAAATTATCCGAATGCAACATGTCCGATCAACAAACAATAGTCAATACTTACCATCCGTTCAGATGACTTTTTTTTCTGAAACGCTTCCAAAGCTACATAACCAAAACCACACGAGTCCTGACTATTTCAGATTCAGTTACTGCTCATGCTGACGACGTTGTCTTGAAGTGAATGACAGAAAAGTTACACAAGTTCGGCTCAACACTCGCTCATCAAGTCATCAACACTGATCCGCAAAAAAAATACAAATCGTCAGCCTTGGACTTGGCGACTGCAATACCCAAAATAGATTACTACAGTCCCATGTAATCAAATCATGAATGACGCTCAGAGATAAGGGCTTTGTTGTTATATTCTGAGCAGATTCGACCCACTCATTATTCGGTCTTTTGTGGGGTATGGCGTGATTCTTGTTGATATAGAAGATCGCAGTTACCTGTCTGACATCAGCCCGATTCAACAGCGTCTATAGTCCATGTAGTCAGAATCATTAGGTCAGGGAACCAGACAAGCACTCACGAAAACGAAATTACAGGCGAGCATTTGTTGGAGAGGGCGCCCTACAACAAAAAATGCCAGAATCTGGCCCTTTTGTGAGCCCTGTCTATGAAAATTAGTGCTCTGTAGATTTTTTCTTCAAACCAAAAAATTGAAAGTAAACAAGCATTGATTGCATTGTCCCTTTTAGTCCAATGAGTTTCCATGATCTACAAAGAGTGTACATTCTTCGACGAGAAATTCATCTCGAAGTAATCTGTATCAAACCCATAAATCGAACCACTTTGTATAAAAATGGAACATTACAACGCCGCATCGATTTCTGGAATAGCCTTACAAATACCATGACAATCGGGGTCCCTGAATGTATTCACAAAGAAACTCAAAACCAGTTTCTGAAATACGATTTGAAAACAATCCACTGTTTAATCTGACCTACAAAAATTAATGTCGCCATTGTTCCATGTTGCTAATATTATTCACCTATCTTAAAAAAAAGTGTATAAATAAAATACTGGAATATTGGATTCCGACAACTCTTACATCCCCATTCACAGCTTGATTAAAAGAAACCTGAAATTTCCTTCAGCCGAATCCTAAGGCGAAGCTGCAGTTTGGAAACACCTAAACTACGTAAACAAGCACATAATGGTTCCACACCTGTCTTTCCACTTCCAACCAATAGGCAGCCAGCCAGCCACTCTTAAGCGCGCACAGCCAACTCGGCCACTCGATTGTTGATATCTCTCCGCGCTGAAGAAAATAGGGTGCGCTTTTTTGTCGAAATACAAATCAAATATCGTTGTCAAAGGAAAAAAAGTTGACTTTTTTGACAAATGTTATAAAAGGCTAGCGAATGTATAGTCAGACGTCCCGCATTTAGTTTTGGTTGAACTGGATAGTGTAATCTGACCGCGTAGGGGCACATCAACAAAGCCCGTGACCTCAGCGTAAAAAGGCATATGCCAGGCCGTGATACTCACGTGTTGGCAGCTTTCTGTGAAAATGTGCCATAACTTATTCCCCACAAAAATGGGCATATTTTCAGCGGATTGTTTTACTCTTCAGAAATGATATGTACCCCAACTGGATAAGGACAATACGACTTTCATTTCAGTACATGAATTAGACCTAGTCGCACTGCTGAGGAGTTTTATTTGAGATAAGCGGGCCACAAAATGGGTGCCTCAATATCGTTCAACTGGACGAACGGCCACAAGCAAAACTTCGACTACGGGCGACCCTTGGAATGCAACTTGGACTCCATTTTACTCCGAGCTTCCATCCGAGGTCTTCCCTGACCGACTTCTCAGTTCGCCGCCTTCGGTTTGTAGAATTGTCGTGAGTGAAATAAAGTTATGGAATCGAAACTATAAATTGAACTTTTCCCAAACTTTGTGCAATATAAACCAGCCTGCCGTGAAGTATTTTCGATTCAAATATGGCTCAAATACTGGACTATCTCCGTATAGTGAGCCACACAGCGGTGTGCACTATTTGTGGGGAAAAGTTGATTTTTGAGGAAATCGACATCCGGGAACTGTTTTTTGTTTCACTTGATATTCCCCATGGAGGATACTTACCTGTTTAGTTGCCAGGAAAAATGTAACTCTGTCTCGTTAGGTGGTTGGTTATCCTGTAATTGTCATGCAAAAATTGCAGTGAGTTTGTCCAAAAAAGAAGAAGATTTCTTCAAAATTAACTTTTGCCCACAAAATAGTGTACATATCGCTGTGTGGCTCACTGCACTATACGGAGGAAGTCCGGTATTTGAGCCACATTTTGTGGCGCTGTCAAAAACTCAAAGGAACTCTGAACATAATACATTAGCCTAGTTAGATCTGCTCTGGAGAAGATCAATGGATACTTGAACTGAATTGACATTTACTGTGGAATATACACGAAGGGAATTGTGAACTGAAACATCTCGGACCTCAACTGTTGTGCCGTGGATTTAATGAACTACCTGTGTTGAAGTTTGGCTGATGTCTTTGCTGAATCAGCCGAGGGGCCATCTTCAGGTTGTGCTTTGACACGAGTGAACTCCGGTAAATGGGAAACAAGTTCCGAGGTGAGTAGGCTATAACTTCTTTAAAAGTAATCTTAGAGGAAACAATTTTATAGGTGAAGACTTGTATTATTGTCACTGCCAGCTCTTTTATTCATGATATAATATTTCATCCCCTATTATCATAGGCTAATATCCTTTTTTGGCGGCCAAGATTTGAAAACAATATCTGGACATTTTTAGGGCATAACTATTATTGTATAATTGTATCCACATATGACCATAAATTAGTTAAAAATACACCTCAAATTTATACTCTCTAAACTGGATAACTATGTCTAATTGCCCTAATAATTAGTCTACTTTGTATGTGTAATGTGTGCCAAAATGTATTGATTTTTTTCGGCCTGTGGTATTGTCTGTATAATGAATCGTCGGGGTTAGGTTGTGATTCAAAAGACCACCTGTATAATACATTCTTTTCTTTGAAAAGTGAACAATGTAGTCTAATTGGCTCCTGAGCCCGGCGTAGGTGGTAGATGGTGTGACCCTTTGACCCCAAACGAGGTTGGTTTGAAAGGTTATAATTGTTATAGTTTCGTCAAAGGGCATAGTATTTCTACTACAGCTTGTTAATGGTAGTCAGTAAGTGGGTCTGTATGTGGGTTACATCATGTACCAACTCAGTCGGACTTACAGATATTGACATTTCTCATTAATTGTAGCAATAATCTGACGCTACTCCAAATGCCAAAATACCATGTCAAAACCCATTCACAGTTTCTCGTGTAAAGGGGACTCCAAATAAATGTTAAGCTATTTTTTTTTGGGGGGGGGGGTGATAATTCATACTCAATGTGGGGTTTTTATTTTTTAAATGTGTTTTTTTTAAATGACCTTGAATAACACATCCATGTGTATTGTGAAAATAACTTGCTAAGACTAAAAAGAAAACATTTCTTTTCATGATTGCGTAAGGGGGGGGGGGGGGTTGTATTTACTCGCGAAACCAGAATTCTAGAAAATTATTCTATGATTAAATGTAAACATGTAAACAAATTACCACAATTTGTGATTATGTAGTCGAATATCATAAAATACCATTTCCAATTATACTGAAATTGTTCCAAGGAAATTTGCTAGATGTGACTTTACGTGTCCTTTACTACCAGATATTAAGTTACAAGTACTATTATTTGATCAACTAAAATCATTGTTCACTATATTGGTAATACCAGCAAAACAAATATCACAATATAAACAGGGACAGCAAATTAATTGGCCCCCACATTTATGGAATCGCACATATTGTATATTTTTTCAGTTTGCTTGCAAACTTTTTGAATCTTCATAGGAGGCTGTTTCTGCTATTGTCAAGATAGGGCCCATACTGCAAGCACAATTGGAGGTCGTGGGTTGGAGCCCCCCCCCCCCCCCCCCCGAGTGATTTTTCCAACTTTCACTCGGGAGGTAACACACTGAGTATACAGTGTTTATACGTCGGTGAAGGGCAAAACCTAATTTGATTAACCAGTCGGTATTTTAGTAGAGATTCCCTTTACGTCCTTCTGTGAAAGAAAACAACACCCAAAAATGTCCCAAAAAGTTAGGTGATATTAGAGACAGTGTTTTATGTTTCTCCTCAAGAAAATGGGATCTTTATTTTATCTTGCAAGAGAATGTTGAAGTCAGTGCGACTTGACCGCAGGACTGGCAAACATCTTACCGGTACCTTTCTTGATGTCGACCCTCAGCAGCAGAAATAAAATTGTCTGAAATGTAATTCAACATGGGGATTTTACTTCTTCGAATGAACCTCTAAAATCTTCATTCTCGGGAGCCACAAATTGCAAAAACAATGAGTGGAATAGATGATGAAGGTGAAAAGTGCAAGTGTGGCAGAGACAAGTTTACATTGTAAATGTTCATGTATTTTTACAAGTGTATTTAATAGGAGTAGCTCCCCTTAGAAGAAGAAAACGAGTTTAGTTGAAGTAAGACGGCCCTTCACTTTCCTAGTTGTGTGTCCCCTGTTTGTTTACTGTAGCCCATAAGTCCCCCCTAAATGATCTGCTACATGGTCAAGCACACTGTATCAGCCAGCAGACCATGTATATTCTTATTATTTTTAAATTTATTTTGAAAAAAAATAGTACAAAAGGAAGTGCACTGTGGAATATAGAGCCGTATGAAAAAAAAAGTAAAATAAGAGTTTTAAGTTGTACATTATAAAACTACAAATTTGTAAGTATATCTACTTGATGATAGGAGACAATCGTAGCTTTCTTGAAGATAATCATGTAATGTTATATTTTCTTCTTTTTTTATTGCAATGTAACTGATTATAGGAGGGCCCATGTGTTTTCGTGTAAACTGAATGATATGCAGTATTGTTTCATGGAAATGTTACACAGTAAAAACATTGTTTGGTGTTTAAACACATTTTTTAACAGTTTCTTGTACCCACTCTTTAAACATGGTTACACACACGACATGCTTAGGTTCATAGATGTCGGTGACATATTTAGGCATGTACGAAAGCCGATTAGTACCATCTAGTACAAATTGTTAAAGTAAATTGAAGTCAAATGATAGGCTAAATGCACACTTTTATCACACTTTCATTATTATCTGTCTACGAAAAACGAACATTAAAATATAATTAGATTTTTTTTTTATCAGTTGTTATTTATGAAACTATGAGGCTTTCATACTGTGCAAAATCCTAATAAACATGTTTCAAACTAAACTTGTGGGAAAAAAGTGGACACAAGAAAAGTGTTAAAAAGTTAATGTAAGCACCCCTTTTGTGCAGTGTAGTTTTTGAAACTCTAAAATATCGGAAGGGTTTCATGGGAGTGATCAATGTAGAACAATTCAGTATCGTTTCGGTTTGCGGTAACACCATGTGGTAATAACTTCTGCTTAGAAGATATTAGTTCTGAAAAGAACTTGTC